GCTTCTCTAGACTGGCGGCTTGCGGAACAGGGCTCTGGGAACAGGGTTCTGGTACCACTGGGCACTATTGGACGTTCCCATTCCTGGGCTTCGCCCAGACTTACGTGAAGCACAGAATCCGAGGCAGTAGCTCACAACCTGTACCCGAACATCCCTCCAGTTTATTCTGATGCTTTATAGCATGTGAGACCCACTGATCTAGACTCCAGATGAGAATGGTGTTTCTCAAGCCCGGTTGTAAATTAGAATCACCCGGAAAACTTTTCGAAGTCCCATAGTCCTGATATCACTGCCGGCCAATAAAATCAAAACCTCTGCACGTAGGCCCCAGGCACTGATATTTTTCCAGGCTCCTCGGGCAGTTCTAACGTGCAGACAGAATGGAGAGGCAGTGGCCGAGGGGGTGTATTTGTTGGAAATAAAGGATCCTCCTCGAGTAACCCAAGTAGTAAGCTATAGCGTTTCGAAGGCAATACGTCCGAAAGGTTGTACAGAAACTGGGAAGTACCAAAATCCCAGATGGCTCTTTCCATCTCTTATTGTTCTCCTTTTGTGGTGATGTTTTCTGCTTTTCTCTGGGCCTTGCTTAATAATCCTTACACAAAACAACATACTCTGCCCATTCACTGTTCACACTTCCATGACTGATCTTCTCTATGGTTTGACTCATCATTGGACCAACTCCCTCCTCCTACCTTTACGTAACATCTCAGCTCTGATACCCACAGCTCAGTGGCATTGGGAAGCCAGGGACACTTATTTTCTCCTAAGATTTTGACCTGCAACTATGAATTAAGAATAGTGCCCCCCAAAAAAAATTATTTTCTTTTTTAAATTTAATTAACTTATTTTTGTTACAGATGCTTCTCTTTTTTCCCCTCACTGATACCCCTTCTCCCTCCCCGCCCTGTCCCCAGCTTTGTTGTCCATGTCCATTGTTCATGCGTACATGCATATAAGTTCTGTGGTTTATCTCTCTCCACCCCCTCTTCTGCGGATTGTCAGTCTGTACCCCACTTCCACATCTCTGGGACCATCCCGTTCCTCAGACTGATATGTTCATTATATTCCACAAATAAGTGAGATCATGTGATATTTGTCTTTCTCTGCTTATTTTCTTTTTTACCGAAGGGAAAATACACTTAAAAAATACTTTCCTGCTCGCAGGCAATTTATAGTGTAATTTAAACCACCCCCCACCCCCCCGAATACAATAGTAGCTCTCCAGTACTGACAATTAAGAGAAAGGGGAAGAGGGAGGTAAGCAAAGAGAACCCTAATCCCCCAGATGTTGGGGGTGTCCACAAACTGGCTGCTCCCTCTAATCGAGTCAGTGTTTCTGTGGGCAACAACTTATATTCCAGAAATCAGTCCTGAGGTCACTGGATTCTCCCTACTCACGTTGGTCCATGAACCAAGCGACATAGCTCATCAGCTCCAATTTGCCATCAAAGAGCTTGTCTTTACCTTCTCCTGCTTTGCCTGAGCAGACCATCCACCCATGCCCTTTTATTTCCCCTTCATGTGTTTTTTTATATTTATTTATTTATTTATTTATTTTATTTATTTATGATTCTATGCATGCACCCTAGGTGTCCTGGGTTCCATGCCTGCTGAGCATGGCTTCCTATTTATTTATTTATTTATATTTTTTAGAGAGAGAGAAACATCGATCGGCTGCCTCCTGCACGTCTCCTACTGGGGATCAAGCCCGAAACCCGGGCATGTGCCCTGACCGAGTCTCGAACCAGGACCTCTCAGTCCATGGGACGATGCTCAATCCACGGAGCCACACCAGCCAGGGCCACAACTCCCTGTTTAATCAAGGAGCTAACTTCTCAACCAACAGCATGCCTGAGGACAATTCATCGGCTCCTGCTGAAAGACTTCCAGAAATGGAACTATCTTGAAGTGTGACACAGTATTGCAAGACAGCCATAACCACAGGAAGTTCCTTCTTGCCAGAAGTAGATAGTCAGGAACTATTGCATTTAATATGGAGCTGGAATCTCTGTCCTTGTCATGCTTTTTCGTTGTCTCCCTCTGCTCTTTGAAATGACGGCAAATACATTTTCTTCACGTTCAAAATGGCCGAATTTGGAAATTTGGAGGGAATGTTACCAAGCTCCTTTGAGTTTTTATTTGTTCTAGGATCAATGTTTTCAGTATATGAGCTGTTTTTTGTTTAAAACATGCTTATTTCTCTTGGCTTTCTGTTACCTCTTTACTGAGGTGTCCTCGTTCTAAAATGCCACACTCCAAAATAGAAAACACGATATTAGCTATAAATTGACCTGTATGAGGTACATTGGACTGATTGCTTTCTCAATCTATGGCCGATTGACTTCTTTAGATGCAACTTATGATGGATCATTTAGAGTGATTTTGACATCTATGGTCACTGGTTCATTCTGAACAAATTGCCTGATTCCTTCAGCCCTCATTCTAAATCTCCTTCTTCGCTAAATGTCTCTGTCCTGCATCTGTCTGCTCTTTGAACCTCACTGTGGGATGTTACGTTGATTCCGATTCAAGGGTTTGCGTTCCTGCTCATTCTGTTCTTGTTGCTACCTCTAATTTCCACTCTTATTGCTTTAGTCTGCTATTGCTTGCCATCGATTCTGTATAATCAGTGAATCTGACAGACACTTTTAGTTGCCTACTCTTTGTCCTCAATACACAAAGGCCATGTTTGTGGAGACTACAGGACCAATGTGAGGAAATAGCTCATTAAAATAGTAGGACCTCTGTCTCTCTGAAACACACAAATGTGTTGTAGCATATGTTCATTTCAAATGCACACATCACAACTGTACAGCTTAACACATTCTTGCCGAATGAACACGCCATGTAATCAACCAAATTAAGAAGAACACTGCCGGCAGCCCAAAGATACCAGACAACACTACCCCCCAACATTAATGCTACCCTAATATCACCATATTCTTTTTGCCACGTATTGAACATCACACAGAGGAAATCCTATCAGTGTACTCTTTTCTGTCTAGCTTGCTTCTTTCTCTTCAGTGTTGAACAGTGTTCTGTTGAATGATTACTCTGCAGTGAATTAACCCATCCAACAGTTTGCAGCTTTAGGCTGATAAAAATAGTGTTGCTACGTACATGCCTGATATCTTCTAGGACCCAATGTATACATTTCTTTTGGGAGGGTTCTAGAACATGTATATGCTTGGCTTTAAAAGACACTCTCAAATTGTTCTCCAAAGTAGTAGTATCCATTTCTAGTCCCACAGGCTGGTTTCAAGAGTTCCAATGGCTTCGTATCCTGGTCAACATTTGGCATTTGGTACTGTCTGTCTGCATGGGTTATCAGCCCATCAGATGAAGGGGTATCAATCTGTGGTGCTTAAAATACACTTCCTTGATGTGAGTGAGGTTGAGCACATTTTTATTTGCTTGGCAGCCATTTGGACATTCTCTTTTGTGAAATGTCAATTCAAGGGTTTTTTTTTTTTTTTTTGCCTATTTAAAAATTGGGTCACATCTTTTTTCTATATGGATGGATAGAAAGATGAGATTTGGTCATTAGTTTGATCATCTTCTTAGGATGAGCACTGGTCAAAGGGAAATGGGATGTTAGTCATCCATGTCATGCAGTGACATCACAATTAATTAAGCAGCCATCTGTGGTGGACTTTAGTGAAGTATCAACTCAGCAAATGCCTTGGAAGCCACTTGGCTATAACAATTGCTCATTATGGCAACGATGAAGACTTACGCACTTAGACTCTTTGATTTGTTTGAGTGGCTACAGAAAGAAAGAAAATGATGAGATTAGATTCCTTAACTTTCAACTCAATTTATTGTTTGAGAACCAAAGAACTTCTATATAGCCATAAAATAATTTCCTATTATCTTTTTTTAAATGTTTTTTTTTCTTTATTGATTCTAGAGAGAGAAGAAGGGAGAGGGAGAGAGAGAGAGAGAGAAACATTGATGAGAGAGAACATCGATTGGCAGTCTCCTCCATGCCTCCTATTGGGGATTTGGCCCACAACCTAGGCATGTGCCCTGACCGGGAATCGAACTGGCGACCTCCTGGTGCTTGGGTTGATGTTGAACCACTGAGCCTATCATCACAGGGCCTGATATCACTGAGAATTCAACAAAATGTTATCTGTGTAGGTTTCGAAATGAAAATGACAGTCGCAAAGTTTCACACAAGAAAGTTAGGAATCAATTTGCAAATAACGAGATCTGGAACTTGGAATGGGGGCACGTGATTGTATCTAAATGAAACTGATGATCTTGAACCCCAAGTCATTTGAGCCTCACTTATCAGTGATGCACGCTCTGAGGAGAGTCGACTTCCTCTGCATCAACACCCTATGATAACAGGACTTGAAAGAAAGAAGATGCTCATTTTTCTTTTTCCACATAGAACACAACTACCCTGTGTTGCCCCCAGATCTTGTAAGTGGATTCGAAGATAGGTGTGATCCTAGAATTAAGTACAGGCTGTGACTCAGGAGGAAAGAGCTCGCTCCCCGAAGTCACTGCGAGACTTTGCTGATATACATCATCAGAAACATGAGCCAAGTGGCAAAGTGGATCCGAATGGATTTTATGAGGGTTACACTAATGAGGGAAAAATTTAACACTAGGTTGGCTGACTTCATTAATATGAGTGTATATTCCAGAGACTTTAAATGGATTTCCAGTGGACTTAAAATTATTTAAAACCCTCCTGTATATTTTTTAAAAGCCTTTGTTCCCATTTCCTCTTCTAGTTTTAATCCTCTCTCTTCTCCTGCCTCAAGCGTATTTTCTCTTATCCTCTCCAGTGCTAAACCCCTTCCAATCTAACTTGTTGCCTGATAACTTGACCAACACAACTCTGACCGAAGTCACCAGTGATCCCCATAGGTCTGGTTCTGTGAAATAAACAATAATCCCCCTGAGAACGTTGCCATTTTAAACTTTTAAGAAATCTATGGATGTGATCTGGATTTAGTTTGTTCTCTTCTTGGCCACCGTAGGTCTTCTGTGATTTCCACGGCCACTCCCAGAAGAAGAATGTGTTCGTCTATGGTTGTAGCATCAAGGAGACCTTGTGGCAAGCAGAGGCCCCTGTGGGCGCATCCACTGTCTTGGAAGATGTCAGCTACAGGGTAAGTTTCAAGTGCTTGTCTTGATAGGAAGCAATAAAAAGGTGAAAAAAATTTCATAAAATAGAAAATGTGCAAACAATAAAGGATCCATGACTCCAAGCTTGGCTTCTTGAAATGGTTAACAAAGGTGACAACGCTTTAGTAAGATGAAGAAAAGAAAGAAGCCCTGGCTGGTTTGGCTCAGCGGTTAGAGCATCGGCCTGCAGACCAGGGAGTCCTGGGTTTGGTTCCCGCTAAGGACACGTACCTTGGTTGTGGTTCATCCCCGGCCCCGGTTGGGGTCGTGCGGGGGGCAACCACTGGATGTGTCTCTCTCACATTGATGTTTCTCTCTCCCCCTTCCACTTTGTCTGAAGATAAATGTAAAAATATCCTCAGGTGAGATTAAAAAAGAAAAAAGAAGAAGAAAAGAAAGAAGACACAAGTTACCAGAATCAGGAATGAAAGAATAATTTCCAAATTTTAAAATAATATCATTAACAACTTACAGGCCAACACATTAATAAATTCCAAAGACGACACAAATGTCCAAAATAGACTCAAGAAGACCTAGTATCCAATAAAACCCAGTTTTAGTAAATAAAGAATACCAGTAATTAAAATCTTCTCACAAATAAAATGTGGACAAATGGCCCAGCTAGTGTGACTCAGTGGATTGAGTGTGGTCCCATGAACTGAAAAGTCCCAGTTGGATTCCCAGTCAGAACACATGCCCAGGAGTCTGGGCTCGACCCAGTAGGGGGTGTGCAGGAGGCAGCCGATTCATGTTTCTCTCTCACATCAATGTTTCTCTCTCTCTCCCTAAAAAATCATTAAAAACATATTTAAAACATAAATAAAATAAAATGTGCCAAATGGCTTGTTGGTGAATTCTATCGAAATCTTAAAGAGATAATTAATACTAATTGTAAATACATTCTTTCAAAAAAGAGTAGAAATACTTCCCAACTCATTTTCTGAGATCTGTTATCACTCTGATATCAAAGCCAGGAAAGGTATCACAAGAAAATAAAGCTAATATCTCTCAGAAACAGCTACCCAAAGATCTTTTACAAAGAATTAGCAAATTGAATCCAAGAGCATATAAAAATGATTATCCACTGTGATAAACAGGGTGTGTCTCATAAATAAAAGGTTAATGTAAAAAGAAAACAAAAAACAAATACTGTTCTATTTCTTGTGAATAAACAAATGGCAAAAACAACATCATTATCTCAATAGATAAAAAGGAGGCATTTGGCAAAGTTAAATGTCCATTCAAAATAAAATCTTACAACAAACTAGAAATAGAGAGGGGATTCTTCAACAGGAACTTGAGCGTCTGAAAAATGTCTTATAGCTACCATCATAGTTAATGGGAAAGATTACATGCTTTCCCTGTAAAATCAGGAATGACGCAAGAATGCTTTTACCATTTCTGTCCATTTTCCTGGGTATTCTAGCTAGTTCAATAAGACCCAAAAAATATTAAAGAGAGGAAGATTGGGGGGAAAAAAAGCAGAACTATCTTTATTCACAGGTGATATCATATTTTATGTGGAAAATTCTTAGCAGTCTAAAAAAATAAACTGCTGGAACTAATTTATTTCTGTGTACTAGCACTAAACAATCCCGAAATGAAATGAAGAAAAAAAAATCCATTTGCAATAGTATCAAAAAGATCGTCAGTGAGAAATAAACAGAAAAATACACTTAAAACTACACAACAGTGTTGCATGGAATTTAAGAAGTGCTAAATAAATAGGAAGATATACCAAGTTCTTGAGTTGGAAGACTCGATGTTTTAAAGGTGGTCATTCTTCACAGATTTTTCTACAGATTGAATACAATTTCTATAAAAAAATCTCAGCAGGCGTCTTTGTGGATATTGAGACGTTAATCTTAAAATCTGTGTGAAAAGGCGAAAGAGTTAGAATAGGCAAAGAGATTTTACAAGGGAAGACTCAAGTTGGAAGATTTACTTTACATGATTTTAAAACGTACATGATTTCAAAACTGTGAAGCCACGGTGGTCATGACAAGTTGCCATCGGCATAGGGACCGTCATATAGATCAACTGGACAGAACAGGGAGAGAAGAAATACACTCACACATTTGTGGTCGGCTGATTTCTGACAAAGATGCCAAGGCAGTTTAGTGTGGGAAAGGAGTTTGTCTGACCAATAAATAGTGCTAATCAACTGGATAGCCCCATGGCCAACTATGAATGTTGACCTTTACTTAACACCACACACAAAGTTTAATTTAAAATGGACCATAAACCTAAATGTAAAAACTAGGTCATAGCCCTGGCTGGTTTGGCTCAATGGTTAGAGTGTCCGCCCAAGGACCAGAGAGTCTCGGGTTTGATTCTGGTCAGGGGCACGTACCTCGGTTTCAGTTCTATCCCCAGCCCTGGTTGGGGACATTCAGGAGGCAACCAATCGATGTGTGTCTCTCACATTGATGTTTCTCACCCCCCCGCCCCACTCTATCTGAAAATCAATGGAAAAGTGTCCTTGGGTGAGGATTAAAAATAAAATAAAACAACTATAAAATTTATAGAATACAACCTACTAGAAGATATTTGTATTTTGTCGTCTCTCAGTCAAAGCTGTCTTAGCTAGCACCCTAGAAGCACAAACTATAAAAGAAAAAGTTGGTAGATTGGACTTTATCAGACTTAGAAGGTTTTTCTCTTTATAAGTCACTATTTAGAAAGTGGAAAGACAAGCCATAGACTGGGGAAAATATTGGCAAATCATGTATCTGAGGAAGGACTTATGTGCAGAATATGTGAATTTTTACAAGTCAATAATTAGGGGAAAAAAAACCAAAAACAAACACCCGGTTTTTAAACATGGGCAAAAGATGTGATTGAACACCTCGAACATAATGTATAAATGGCTAATATTAAAAATATCATTCGTTAGGTAACTGCAAATGAAAACCATAATCGGTTAGCACTACACAATCACTAGAATGGGTAGAGTCAGAAATACTGGAAACACGTGTTTGGGAAGGATGTTCAGAACCTAGGATGCTCATTTATCATTGGTGGTTATGTAAAAAGGTACAAACCATTGATAGTTGCCACAACCTAGATAAACTTCAAAGAAGTCAGAAACAAACAAAACATTGTGAGGTTTAATTCATTGGGTAAGTGCTCTGAAGGCTACTTTTAGAAAATGAAGACCAACCACAAGAAGTGCGTTTTTCTTGGGGTAGGTATATAATAATAAGTAATAATATATTGGATGCTTATTGCACATTGAATATATCGCATCTTATTTAAACCTCTTTATAATCCTGTGGAATAGTAAGACCTCATTTGAGAAGCAGTGTTTGCTGTCGTTAAGCTCATGTGATCTGAATTGGACCACCTGGGTTGGAATCCTGGCTTTGTCTTGAGACTATTGAAAGAAAGAAAGAAAGAAAGAGAGAGAGAGAGAGAGAGAGAGAGAGAGAGAGAGAGAGAGAGAGAGAGAAAGAAAGAAAGAAAGAAAGAAAGAAAGAAAGAAAGAAAGAAAGAAAGAAAGAAAGAAAGAAAGAAGAAAAGAAAACATACTTAACTTGTCTGGCCTCTGTAATATAAAATGATAACAGACTTTACCTCAAAGACTTGTGATGATTAAATGAGTGAATGTATGTAAAGTTCATATTAAGCAGTCGGGGAAAAGGATTTACTAGACATTTCAAGTTTTGGAAACTGAGATTAAGTTTAAGGGCAGACAACAAGCAGTGAATGTCCCAAGCCCGTTTTTCTCACCCAAGCTGAGCGCTCAGGGGGGCATTGACGTAAAGCTCTGTTCCTATGGAAAATTCATCCATTTCCTATTCATTTACCAAACTAAACCAACCAGACAAACACCCTCCAGTTCTCCTAGCTGACATCATCTTCATTTCTCTCTGGCATAGGTCAGTTTGTGGGAAATCCACAGGGAAGGGGAATGAGGACTTGGGTGTAAATGCCCTAGGTCTAGTTCCTTATTTAATGAATGAATACATTGTTGCTATAGAGATGTGAGAGGTCCTTCAGTTGCACCTTGTAAATCTCACATCCTCCGGACCCCAGGGCAGGGATCCTTGCCTGTAAAGCTCCCCAAGATACACACCAGTTAACTTGAACATGTGGCCATTGGAACAGGGGCTGTTCCAGCTAAGAAAACCGGGTTCCCTTGACTAAGAGGGGAGAGGTCATTTAAATGGCGTCAGATTAAACTCTTTGCAGCAAAGTCAAACATTGATGAATGCAAACTATGTTCAACTACTCTCAATCACTTTAGAAGCAGTCTGTAGGAATTGTTTATTTTCATTGTTTCTTTTTTTCCCCCTTTATTGATTTTAGAGACAGAGTGGAAGGGAGAGGGAGAGAGAGACAGAAACATCGATGAGAGAGGGAACATCGATTGGATTGGACGCATCCTTCATGCCCCCTGCTGGGGATCAGGCCCACAACCTGGGCATGTGTCCTGACCAGAAATTGAACTGGTGACCTCTTGGTGCATAGTTCAACCACTGAGCTACACCAGCCAGGCTATTTTTATTTTATTTTTAAAAAATTTATCTTGCCCTGGCTGGTTTTCTCAGTGGTTACAGCATCAGCCTGCGGACCAGAGAGTCCCAGGTTCAGTTCCCGCTAAGGGCATGTACCTCGGTTGCAGTTTGCCCCCGTCCCCAGTTGGGGTTGTGTGGGTGGCAGCCACTCAATGTGTCTCTCTCTCACATAGATGTTTCTCTCTCTCTCTCTTCCTCCCTCTCTCCCTCCTGCTGTATGTGACAATGGGTGCAAAAGTGTCCTCAGGTGAGGACACAAGAAAAAAAGATCTTTATTATTGGAAGTATTACAGATGTCCTTCCTGTTTTCTTCCATGGACACCCCCCCCCCACACACACTGTTATCTGTGTCCATTGGTTTATGCATTTATGCATATAAGTTCTTTGGTTTATCTCGTAATCTTTTATTTATGTCTGTTAAGCCGTCCCCTCAGGGTCTGGACTTGGCAGATTTTATTATGTCCGCAAATAATTATGGAATACCCTCTATGAGCAGCGGGGCGTCTCGTGCAGAGATTTCATAGAAACAGCACAGACCTGCACTCATGGACTTACTGGGCTGCAGAGGAGACAGAGAATAGACAACTAATTACATAAACAATAACATAATGGTAATTGTGATGAGCATTTTGAAGGGGAAAAGGGACGGGGGAATCACAGGAGAGGGAGACAAGAGACAAAATCAATTAGGAGGCAATTGTAGAAACTCAGTGAGGACATTAGCATCTCATTTTTCCTGTTCAAATGATGCCATAGGTCTGGAGAATGTGGGAACTTAGAGATCACAGCAAATTATGTTCATAATTACGTTAATATATACTTATCTGTCGTATTTAATTTATAACATAATTAACAATTGTAGTAATCTCTGTATTAATATAATTAACAGTTCTGTTAAGCATGGGGACAGGAAGAACCAGAGATACTAAAAGCTTCGCTCGATGTTCCAGAAATGAATAAAACTCCATTTCCTTAAAATTCATTCCTTAATTTATACCATCGCCAGTAGGTTCGCTTCTCCGCTTTCTTCCTACAGTTTGTCCAAAGCCTGATGTTGTGCTGTGTGTTATCTAATACATATCATTTTATATCGCGTGTGAGTTTGGGAAGGTTCTATCAACACTAAAGTGAGAGAACCCTTCTTTTTAAAATTTTTTTAATTAATTTTAGAGCGAGAGGAAGAGAGAGAATCATTGATGAGAGAGAACATCGATTGGCCGCCTCCTGCATGCCCCCCACTGGGAATTGGGTCCACAACCTGGGCATGTGCCCTGACCAGGAATCGAACCCATGACTTCTTGGTGCATGGGTTGATGCTCAATCACTGAACCATACTGGCTGGACTAGAGTCCTTTTTGTTAATGTTACAGAAACTGTGGGCTGCATGTAGTACTTCTGCTCACCCCTAGTCTGGGTGTGCTGACTCAAAGTCATCGTCCTTGGGAGAATGTGAGGTCTGGTGACTGGAAGCTCCTCTCTGTCATTCAGGGAGTGACCAGGGTGCGCAGATGCCTTTTAAATGGAGATCACGTGGTGTTACCTAAACCTTTCTACCCTAGGGGAAAAATGGCATAGATGAACCCACAGAGAATGAATTTTTCTTTTTTACATCCTTACTCGAAGCTATATTTTTTCATTTTTTTTCCCAGACAGAATGAGAAGGAGGGAGAGAGATAAAGAGAGAGAAACATCAATGTGAGAGAGACACATCGATTGGTTGCCCCCCGGCATGACCCTGACCAGGTCTGGGGTCCGAACCACAACCAATATACGTGCCCTTGACCAGAATGGCACCCACGACTCTCTGGTCCACAGGCCAACACTCTAACCCCTGACCCAAGCTGCCCAGGGCAAGAATGCATTTTTAGATGTTTTATAATTGGCTCAGCTTCAGATTTATGGATCAGAGAATGAGACTAAAAAGGAGACTTCAAACTGGAAGTCACACTCTCTCGAAACAGGTATCTCTACTCGAGAGTCATCAAGAGCCTTGTGATTGCACTAAGTGTACAACCCTTAGTTTGACTCCTAGAGCTAGAAAACACTGAAGTCGTAAACTTCAGGTCCCTGTGAAGTCTGTGGCTTTCCCTGGGGCCCGACTCTGCAAGGTATGAGGCTGAACGTCCATGTGTAGCATTTGTCCACAGCGATGGAAAGACCATAGTCTTTGAAGTTGACTAGTCTTGGCATTTGGATCTCATTCCAGCTACCATGTAGCTATTTTCTTCTAACCCTTCTATTTCAAATTTCTTTTTATTCAGAGAGAGAGAGAGAGAGAGAGAGAGAAACATCAATCGGTTGCCTTCAAGACATGCCCCGACCAGGAATTGAACCTGCAACCTTCAACCTTTCAATGCACACAACAATGTTCAACCAGCTGGGCCACTCTAGCTGGCTCTAACCCTTCTAAGCCTCACCTTTAAAATGATTTAAAAACCGGTGTCCATTTCTTAGGGTTGATGCAAGATTTGTAGCAGCACGTAGTAAGTCTTTGATATTTTAGATGCTTCCTTAATGTTGAGAAGTTAGCTTTTATGATGCCTGTCCCCAGACACCTGCAGCTCACTGTAATTTTTTAAATTTTTTATTGCAGACTCTTCCCAAAATCCTCGATAAGTTAGCACCGGCCTTCACAATGAGCAGCTGCAGCTTCCTGGTGGAAAAATCTCGTGCTTCCACTGCCCGGGTGGTGGTGTGGAGAGAGATGGGGGTGTCCAGAAGCTACACCATGGAGAGCAGCTACTGTGGCTGCAGCCAGGGCCCCTACCAGGTACGTGAGGCCGCGGGGACACATGCTTTCTGCCAGCAGCAACGCGCTCTCACGGGGACTGTCTGGCCCGCTCCCCGATCGCGCGGAAGATCGAGTCTGGTGACTGCCTTCGCGGGCAACAGAGTCTGTGTTGATCCTGGAGGCAGCGTGAGGTCACCTGCTGATTTTGTTTGTCAGGGACTTGCCAGCCCCCCTCACACACGCAGCCCCAGCATTTACGGAGCCTCCGCCCGGTCCTGTTATGTGCTGGGGACATTTTACAACGAGGAGACTGACGGGTCCCCAGTGCGTCGTCCCGGGTGCAGGTCGGTGCACAGACGCTGCCGATGAGTGTGCGTGCTGTGTTCCTCTGTCTTCCGAGCCTATCTGAGTCAGCTGCTCTGTTATCTTGCTGTAAGCAGGGGACACAGCCGTGTGGGCATGACGTGCGTGTCCCAGGGTGAGGGGCTCTCAGACTCATGCACCCCAGCCCGCGAAAGGGCTCCCATGAATCACGCTCCTTCTGCAGCTCTGGTAACAGCAGGAGCAGCTGTTCCAACAGCTCGGGCAGGCTGGTCCAGCCGCCTTCCCACCCCCGCACGAGGGGAGCATAAATAAGGGACAGCGTGACAGTGTCAGCAGGCGAGACCTCTTTCAAATCTGTTAGGCACACCAACAGACTACTCCTTGCTGGCTTCCCTTCAACCCCGAGAAGACCGGAAATTCACCAGCGGGAAAGCTCACTGCGTTGGCCTTGGTTTTCTGTGGCCGTGCCAAGCCCGGAGACGCTTGGCATGGCCACAGCTCCGCGCTGGTGGAAGTCTGTTCTCCATCAAAGGGCCTACAGGGAGTGACAGGTGATGAAAATGATCTAACTTTTCACCTGGCCAGAGAGTGTTTTCGACACACAGCTACCAGACTGCCCGTTCTGAGCCATTCATTCTGTTTAATAGCTCGTTAGTCTAACCAGTTGCTGGAAAGATTTGTGTTATTAATTAATTATGCGACTGGACGGTTCAGTCGAATGAAGCCTTACTTACCCACATTAGTGTTGATGCAGAATAAGGAGAGAGAGGTCGGTGGGGTGGGACTAGGTGTTGGAAGACCTCGCTCTCCAACTTCCCAGCGGGGCTGCACCTGGTTGGCCCATGCATCTAGATGGTTCACAGAGCAAATGCAGACATTAATAAGGATTTCTCTCCTCCCCTCTCTACAAGACTTTAAAAATTTTTTTTTTCTGTATTGATTTTAGAGAGAGAGGAAGGGAGAGTGAGAGGGAGATAGAAACATTGATGAGAAAGAACATCGATTGGCCGCCTCCTGCACGCCCCGCACTGGGGATCGGGCCCACAACCTGGGCATGTGTCCTGACTGGGAATCGAACCGGTGACCTCTTGGTGCATGGGTCGATGCTCAAGATTTTTTGTACAAGATTTTTGTAAAGGTCAAAAGAGATGCATAGATGAATATTTTTGGAGGTTATATGGTCATAAATCTGTTCACTCTCTTGATGCGCAAAACATAGGATTAGAAAAAATAAGCCCAGAATATTACGTCTCTAAGACCTCTGGGATACAGACGTATGCCTCTCGAGCTCTATGCCTCTTGTTGAAAAGAGAACTCCGTGTATTCATCACAGATTTATTGGATTGGAGACTTTCCCAGACTTTGTTTCTCCAAGCGCCAGTTCAGGGTCTCAGCTTCCAGTCACATAAGTATCAATGCCATTCACGGTAAGTCAACGGGAAACCGCAAGTCCTTTGTAGTTGTTTGAAAACGAAGTGACCCATAGGTTTAGGCTCTCCCCAGCTCTTCATCTCCCAGCCACCGTGCATAGTGACCGCTGGAAATGACAAAGAACGAGAAATGACAAATGCCCTGAGAATTTGCAGCGTGGAGAAAGAACTGGTTAAGGAAGCCACCCAGTGCAGGGCCTGGCTTTGCTCTACAGTCCCGTTCTCCACAGTCAACACCTCTGCAAACAGATTGTCTTCCTCCTTCTCTTGGTGTTCCCATCCTTTTCAACGTGGTGGGGTAACTGAGCAGAACTGCAGACAGGAGAGAGACAATGCTGAGCAATTTTACACTTGGTGGGGGCACCCCCACCCGGGAAGGAAGCCAGCCCAGAGTTGGGTGTTGGGGTGATTTTGTTGGAGGGAGATCGTGAAGTCTGTGAGCTATAAAGCGTTGTAGAAATTTCCATCCTCTACATATTGCAAATGACTTTCGTACCTTGAGAATCTGGGTCCCAGTTGGATCCTGAGGTTATTATTTCAAGGTCCTCTTTCCTTTCTTTGTTTAGCATTGCCATTTATCCAAAAAAGTGGGGGATACTCAAATACACCCACGAGGGGCATTCCTCCCTTCCTTCACGAGAATATAAATATTTTTGCAGTTTCTTGGTTAACGCGGCTTTGAAGTCATTCCAGTCCTTTCTGCCCCAGCACACTAAGTACCTGATTTGTTAGTATTGAAATGAGATATCATTTCTTACAGTGACATTTATGTTGGAACTGCATTAAAGAACATAAGCTATTACCTTCCAATAATTACTCTTAATATGATATTTTCTCTTCTATTTCCAGTCTATAGTTGGCTAATTTAAAAAAAAAAAAATTTTTTTTTTTTTTTTTTTTTTGGCCCAGCTTTTATTTCTTTGGGATCTGATCTCTTCGGCTAGGTTATGTACTGAGATCCATCATTTGTATTTAATGTGAGAGTCCCACCCCCTGAGAGATTTACTTGAGCTGTTAGGGACTGGCCCAGAGCTATTGAGGGAAAAGCCCAAATGGAATGATGTGTCCTTTGGGGACTTATTTTTAAGAGTCGTCCAGTCTATGTGGACAGCCGTATGCTTCCCACCGAACACGCATGTTCTGGGGTCATGCACACAGTGTGTTTGTACTTAGAAAGGCATGTGTCTGGCCCCGGGGGCGTCCTGTGGCTTGGAAGGATACCTGAGTGACTCCCACCCAAGGAGGCTGTCAACAGGCTTCTTGGGGACACTGCTCAGCAGTGGGCTAGCAGAGGGGGGTGACTCGCTGAGACATAGGAGCAGCTTAGCTGGTCACTCTGCTGCCTGCAGCCCCTCCCTGCGTGTTGGTCTGGCAGCTGTCCATTCCGTCCGCCACCAACAGAGGGCTCCTTAGCACAGCTGGCATGGCTTTGCACAATCTCCTCATTCATTTTTTAATTTCAATACCTAATTTAATATGAAGCAGGGCTCTGGCCGGTTTGGCTCAGGGGTTAGAGCATTGGCCCGCGGACCAGAGAGTCCAGGGTTCGGTTCCCGCTAAGGGCATGTGCCTCAGTTGCAGTGTGTCCCCGGCCCCGGTTGGGGGCATGTGGGTGGCAACCACTCGATGTGCCTCTCTCACGTCGATGTTTCTCCCTCTCTCTTCCCCCCTCTCTCCCTCCCACTCTATCTGAAGATAAATGCCAAAATGTCCTCGGGTGAGGATTCAAAAAACAAAACAACAACAACAACAACATCCATTGATGCTCTCACACTTCTGGAGGCTAGACGTTCAAGAATGAAGGTGTTTGCGATGCTGTGTTCTCCCCAGAAGCCCCACAGGGGAATCTGAGTTATGTCTGTGTCTTAGCTTTGCTATTCCCAGGAATCCTTGGCGTTTCTTGGCTTATGGATTCATCCCTCCAGTCTCTTCCTTGGTCGGCAATGGCCTCTCCACTCTGCGCCTCTGCTTCTGTGTCTCCCTCCCTCTCGTCTCCTCACAAGGACCCCATCCATGTTGGGTTCGGGGCGCAGCCTCCCCCAGTGTTGTCTCTTTTTGCAGTGGAGTGGGCCCCATGCACAGTGCTCTCCTCGACTAGAAGGAGCAGGTGACGGTGCCGTTCCCCAGCCGATACTTTAACATTCTCCACCATGTCTTCACACCCATGGAGCAGCCTCCAAGATTTCTATTTTTAAAACGAAGCAGTAATTCTCTGTCCGTGCTCGAGCGCCCTGAATGTAAATGAGAAGAGCCTCTTATAGAACACTTCGAACCCCGTTGTTCGGAGGGAAGCGTTCGGGACCTTTGTAGAAATCTGTAATTGTTTTATTAATTAGTTAACGCATTTGTTCGAGGATTGATTTGTTTGACGCTGATGTTTGTGGCTGGGGATATAGATAGACAATGAAAAACACTTAGCAGTCCAGATACGGGGTCATCTTCATTCTTCATCCATTCTTTCCTTCATTCATCATTCAATAAACATTAAAAAAAATATATCCAGGCCATGTTAGGTGCCAGGAATCTGACAGAATGGAGCTGAACGTTTCTCCCCAGGGTTGATGGTTGGGCCGGGAAGGCAGTCAATCAATGAAGGGGCAGGAACAGCAGAGTCCTGTGGACACTAGGGGGCGCTAAAGGGCACATACGCCGAGGTACCTACAGATCTTCACTAAATGTTGGCTGAGTTGAATATGAATTTTTTAAAAATTATTTTTATTAATTTGTTCTTGTTACAAATGTTTCTCCTTTTCCCCCCATTGACCCCTCCTCCCAACCCTCCCTTGCCCCATTCCCAGCTTTGTTGACCATGTCCATTGGTTACACATACATGCATGTAAGTTCTGTGGTTTATCTCTTCCCTCCCCCGACCCTCTTCTGAGGTTTGTCAGTCTGTACCCTACTTCTGTGTCTCTGGGTCTATTTTGTTCATCAGCTTGTTTTATTCATTATATTCCACAAATAAGGGAGATCATGTGATATTTGTCTTTCTCTGATTGGCTTTTTTCACGTAGGATAATACTCTCCAGGTCCCTCTATGTTGGCTCAAAGGGTAAGAGATCTTTCTTTCTTACAGCTGCATAGTATTCCATTGTGTACATATACCACAGCTTTTTTATCCACTCATCTACCGATGGACACGGGCTGTTTCCAGATCTTAGCTATTGTACACAGTGCTGCTATGAACATAGGGGTGCACGTATTCTTTCTGATGGGTGTTTCAGGCTACTTAGGGTATATTCCTAGAAGTGGGATCACTGGGTCAAGTGGAAGTTCAATTTTTAA